TTTTATACCATTTTCGACATTTTCTTTTCTGTTCGGCGGCCATCAAAAGGTTCACAGGACCTCAACAGTGAGCTTAATATCAGATTCTTGGATGATAGCACCACAGTATCCCTTCTAAAGAACGTCAGAATTATCTAAGAGCAAGGGGAGAATATAGGCCTCTCTCTAATCCCCTCGAAATGGAAGCTAGTGTCCTCCAGTAAGCACAGAATTGAACAAATCACAGTTGCCCTGGAAAGAGGCAGTCGTTGATTTTATTCCTTGTAAACTTCTTGGTGCTTCTCTTGGGGGCTAAAATTGTTGGTGAGATGTTGGAAAAAATAATCTCTCACCTCAAATGGCAGGAAATAGGATCGGCAACCTTGATACCCATAATGCCTTCTGTTTTCTTTCCTGGTGTCTATCCTCCCTGAGCTAGCCTAATTTTGCGATGGTCTCCATCCTTTGTCAGTCCAAAACAGAGAGAGCACAACTTCATTCTGAAGTTCATGCTGTAAAATGTTCTAAACTTGAATAAAATCGCCCAAACAATGCTATCCAATGCATCAGGAAAGGACATAGCTCGTCTGCTAGTGAGGAAGGCACCACATTCAACTTACCTTGTAGCTGTTCCTAATTCCTCCTTGGGCACTCTCCTGGATCCATAGGCAATTCGGACTGGAGTAGCTCTTCATCTATCCTCCCCCATACTCACCGAACATAGGTAGATTTGCGGCAGGGCGTCAGCTAATAAATTTTGACTCCAGTCACTATTGTCAAACGTTGGAAGGGAAGTATGACGGACACTGAGGGGTGAATGTCATCATCAATCGAAATCTCGCCACAGTCCGTTGCCTAGAATAACGGCAACCTCAGATACAGAGGACTGACGGAAGATATAAGCGTCCAGATGGAGTTACCATGTTACCCTGGAAGGATGATAAGCAAATTGTGTGAAAATACAACTATGCCTCTACCATGCTCTGAAGCCCGAGGGGGGGGGGGGTAATTCTGCCAGTTTGATGGAGACCCAGAAGATAAACAATGATTTAGTCCCAGTAGGGTCGAAAACCCTCGAAGCATGGGCAAGTGTGCTCTAAGATTCTTTGAAGAGTTATCTGACAAACTCATCAGAGAAACCAAGGACCCCAGAGCAACCAGCTTCCTTTTTCGAAGACTCAGTGTTGCTCTCCAGAGAGGAAATGTTTGCACTATCCTGGGACATATGGCCACTATCCTGGGACATATGGCCCACCGCCGGTGAACTGCATGAAGTATTTGAGGTAAAGGCTCTGTGATGCAATGTATTATATTCTCAATGTATCTTTTTTAATGAATTTTGTTTTCAAATAAAAAAATAAGCATAAAGTATAGGGGAAGGTAAGACAAGACAACACTCAAACATTGGGGATAAACATAATGAGTTTGTCTGAAGAACGTATATTCTCTTCTCTTAGGAAGTGGGACTCCAGTCAGTTCCAGAGGTGGGACTTTTTTGTTTAAACCATACCCCCGGCCGGGATTGAACCCGCGGTCATAGAGTCTCAAAACTCCAGCCCGTCGCGCTAGCCACTAGACCAGCTAGCCACAATAAGATTCATCCAACTAGGTATATTTCTACACCATAGGAAAGTTAGCACAGGCACCTCTGTGACCACAAATGCAAGTTTTTACAGACGAATCTCCAGCTAGCGTGGCCGTGACGAACTCTATGGTGTAGAAATATACCTAGTTGGATGAATCTTATTGTGGCTAGCTGGTCTAGTGGCTAGCGCGACGGGCTGGAGTTTTGAGACTCTATGACCGCGGGTTCAATCCCGGCCGGGGGTATGGTTTATTTGCAATCGTGTCATTACGATTTCTTAAGTCAAGTCTTTTTTGTTTATATATGCGCGCGCCCGCGCATATTATATATATATATATATATATATATATATATATATATATATATATATATATATATATATATATATATATATATGATTTTAAATTAAAATTTAAATATAGTTGCTTTTTTCTAGGCTTTATAATGGCCCTAGGCTGATTGTGGCAGCTGAAGAATTTGAACCTCACATTGCTTTAGTAAAAGATCCAGACATCAGCTCCAGCAACTCGTTATTCACAGGTCCAATGGTAAACTTGCTGGAGATACTCGCCAGTGTTATGAACTTCACGTACGTGTTGTTGGAATATCTAGTCTTTTATTAGTAATTTTGAAAAAACTAAATTTGGTCTAATAATTCTTTACTGTTAATGCTTTATTACAGTTCTATTACATTCAGCTTTATGTGTCATTAAAAAATATATTGTAAAAATACTGTATGGCAAATAAACTTGTACCACAGAAAATAATTTACCTTTTTCCAAGTTTGCGTATTTAATAAGTATTTTTTTCCATACTGTACTGACTCCATGACTCTGCCTGGCCAGGTACACGTATGTGCGGCCTAGTGACGGGTCGTGGGGCGTCAAACTAGCGGACGGCTCATGGACTGGAATGGTTGGCATGGTGGGCAGAGGGGTGAGTTTATTTGAATAGTGAATTAGATGTACTTCCATCGTTTAGCGATCCGAGAAAGATATCCCCATGTTCCATAACCCAAGTCCCGTGGGCCTCAGTGCACATAACTGGAACACTTCAGAGAGAGGCTTAAGTGTCGAGTACAGTTAATATTTGAAGGGAATCAGATAAGGCATTCATAAATCATCATGTGGAAGCTAATATCCAAATTTCTTCAATAATAATGTTAAATTAGGACATACACAGCCCAAATCCAATTGTAACCTTCCAGTGAGATTGTTATACTATACTGCACAGACACATTATACTGGAACCGCTCAGAAGACGCATTATCACGTTATGGCCGAATGTAACACTCAGAAGTCGATGGTCTCGGAGGAGGTGAAGGTTAGCGAATGTAACACTCAGAAGTCGATGGTCTCGGAGGAGGTGAAGCTTAGCGAATGTAACACTCAGAAGTCGATGGTCTCGGAGGAGGTGAAGCTTAGCGAATGTAACACTCAGAAGTCGATGGTCTCGGAGGAGGTGAAGCTTAGCGAATGTAACACTCAGAAGTCGTCACCTGGAAAGCAGTATTTCAATTTTCCAATGTCTGCCATAAGAAGAAGTAAACTGCGATTTACCTAGGCATTACTAAATCCGATCTTTTCTTCTAAATAAGACTGACCAGAGTTTAATTAAGTATGTAAGATAGTAAGCTGGAAAATAATTAATGTATATTCAAGATTTACATACTTAAAAAAACTACAGTTGTCTGCTGATCACAAAGATGTAAGACACTTGACAATATATATTATGTGAAATTTTACTTGGATAATCTAGTAAAGTGAATCATTGTAAGTTGTTTCTGATCAAAATAAAAATTCTCCATTTACTTCACAGAAACCAGTTTGATTAATGAACGAGCAAATTAATGCTTATACGACCTAAAAATCAACACGAAGCTTCTTTTGAGGAAAACAATGCAGTAATTAGTAAGTGTTTAAGTTAACTAGGAGTCAGTCATTCACCAATAATTACACAGAATACAACAAAATGTTCAACTACACAGCCTAAAATCAAAATAAACTTCAACCATTGAGAGTGATGCCGTCCATAAGTCTTCTGTTTTAATAAGGCTAAAACGCTAAATCAGCAGAGTTAAATAAGGAAGAATAAGTCCAGTTACTTGAATCAAGAGCCTCTCGTTAGCATCAAAGCAAAATAATTCATTAATGTAAAATAATGCTATTCCATTTTGAGATTAAAAATAACGAAATGGTATCTACACACTCCATTAACAACACCAACCTTCTTCTGTGTGGGATACACGACCACCGGAACCTAACTACACTGATCACAAGGTAACAAAATCTGGGAATGATCTCTCTAACATTGTTCACACAACACTCAGAATGCAACTTCCCCTTGAATCTTAACCAACATACAGTACAACTGCGTTAATGTTGAAGATGATCAAATTAGTCGTTCTCGAGTAATAAGCAAAGTTTTGGAAAAAGGAAAGAAAATTTTGATGAATGTTCCAAAAATAAGAACGTCTTTGATCGTTGAACTTAAAAACGTCAAAAAACTTATTATGTTTAAAATTATTTATTGTCCTGTTAAACCAAATATTCTATTTTCTATTTAATAAAATCTTGTCAGAAAAAAAGCTTAATAAGTGAATAAGGGCAAATTGGTGCCCATACAGTACAAAATAAATAAAAAGAATTTTCAGTGAAGATAAATAAGTATAACAGTTCGATACCGATCAGAAGAGACATTCTCAAGTTACTATTTGTGAAGCAATTTATTTAGCAAATTAGGTAAATTGAGCTTGACATAGATGATAATGAGGACCAGAGTTTCTGTTAATGACCATTAAGTTGAAAGTTTGAAAAAGGACACAACAGGCATCGTACAGTAACTGACCTGATCCCAACGATTCCAAATATTTCTGAATTTATGTAAATTTGTTCCACCTCAGACTAAACTTAATATTAAGTGTCATCCAACTTATGGAATACATCTTCATTAATATTTGGAAGTTCAACAGAAGAAATATTATGTTACTAAATATTTATATATATTTCGATTTATTCAATAATACTGGCATCTTGGGTCTTATGGCACACAATACCAGCATGAACGTGACCTTCACTACACAATACCAGCATAAACCTGACCTTCACTACACAATACCAGCATGAACCTGGCCTTCACTACACAATACCAGCATGAACCTGACCTTCACTACACAATACCAGCATGAACCTGGCCTTCACTTAACAATACCAGCATGAACCTGGCCTTCACTACACAATACCAGCATGAACCTGGCCTTCACTTAACAATACCAGCATGAACCTGGCCTTCACTACACAATACCAGCATGAACCTGGCCTTCACTACACAATACCAGCATGAACCTGGCCTTCACTACACAATACCAGCATGAACCTGGCCTTCAAAACACAATACCAGCATAAACCTGGCCTTCACTACACAATACCAGCATGAACCTGGCCTTCACTACACAATACCAGCATGAACCTGGCCTTCACTACACAATACCAGCATGAACCTGACCTTCACTACACAATACCAGCATGAACTTGGCCTTCACTACACAATACCAGCATGAACCTGGCCTTCAAAGCACAATACCAGCATAAACCTGGCCTTCACTACACAATACCAGCATGAACCTGGCCTTCACTACACAATACCAGCATGAACCTGACCTTCACTACACAATACCAGCATGAACCTGGCCTTCACTACACAATGCCAGCATGAACCTGGCCTTCACTACACAATACCAGCATGAACCTGACCTTCACTACACAATACCAGCATGAACCTGACCTTCACTACACAATACCAGCATGAACCTGACCTTCACAAGACAATACCAGCATGAACCTGGCCTTCAATACACAATACCAGCATGAACCTGGCCTTCACTACACAATACCAGCATGAACCTGACCTTCACTACACAATACAGCATGAACCTGGCCTTCACTACACAATACCAGCATGAACCTGACCTTCACTACACAATACCAGCATGAACCTGGCCTTCACTACACAATACCAGCATGAACCTGACCTTCACAACACAATACCAGCATGAACCTGACCTTCACTACACAATACCAGCATGAACCTGACCTTCACAACACAATACCAGCATGAACCTGGCCTTCACTACACAATACCAGCATGAGCCTGGCCTTCACTACACAATACCAGCATGAACCTGGCCTTCACTACACAATACCAGCATGAACCTGGCCTTCACTACACAATACCAGCATGAACCTGGCCTTCACTACACAATACCAGCATGAACCTGACCTTCACTACACAATACCAGCATGAACCTGACCTTCACTACACAATACCAGCATGAACCTGGTCTTCACAACACAATACCAGCATGAACCTGGCCTTCACTTAACAATACCAGCATGAACCTGGCCTTCACTACACAATACCAGCATGAACCTGGCCTTCACTACACAATACCAGCATGAACCTGACCTTCACAAGACAATACCAGCATGAACCTGGCCTTCAATACACAATACCAGCATGAACCTGGCCTTCAAAGCACAATACCAGCATAAACCTGGCCTTCACTACACAATACCAGCATGAACCTGGCCTTCACTACACAATACCAGCATGAACCTGACCTTCACTACACAATACCAGCATGAACCTGACCTTCACTACACAATACCAGCATAAACCTGACCTTCACTACACAATACCAGCATGAACCTGACCTTCACTACACAATACCAGCATGAACCTGGCCTTCACAACACAATACCAGCATGAACCTGGCCTTCACTACACAATACCAGCATGAACCTGACCTTCACTACACAATACCAGCATGAACCTGGCCTTCACTACACAATACCAGCATGAACCTGACCTTCACTACACAATACGAGCATGAACCTGACCTTCACTACACAATACCATCATGAACCTGGCCTTCACTTAACAATACCAGCATAAACCTGACCTTCACTACACAATACCAGCATGAACCTGACCTTCACTACACAATACCAGCATGAACCTGCCTTCACTACACAATACCAGCATGAACCTGACCTTCACTACACAATACCAGCATGAACCTGACCTTCACTACACAATACCAGCATGAACCTGACCTTCACTACACAATACCAGCATGAACCTGACCTTCACTACACAATACCAGCATGAACCTGGCCTTCACTACACAATACCAGCATGAACCTGACCTTCACTACACATACCAGCATAAACCTGACCTTCACTACACAATACCCAGCATGAACCTGACCTTCACTACACAATACCAGCATGAACCTGACCTTCACTACACAATACCAGCATGAACCTGACCTTCACTACACAATACCAGCATGAACCTGACCTTCACTACCAATACCAGCATAAACCTGACCTTCACTACACAATACCAGCATGAACCTGACCTTCACTACACAATACCAGCATGAACCTGACCTTCACTACACAATACCAGCATGAACCTGACCTTCACTACACAATACCAGCATGAACCTGGCCTTCACTACACAATACCAGCATGAACCTGGCCTTCACTACACAATACCAGCATGAACCTGACCTTCACTACACAATACCAGCATGAACCTGACCTTCACTACACAATACCAGCATGAACCTGACCTTCACTACACAATACCAGCATGAACCTGCCTTCACTACACAATACCAGCAGGAACCTGACCTTCACTACACAATACCAGCATGAACCTGGCCTTCACTACACAATACCAGCATGAACCTGACCTTCACTACACAATACCAGCATGAGCCTAGCCTTCACTACACAATACCAGCATGAACCTGGCCTTCACTACACAATACCAGCATGAACCTGGCCTTCACTACACAATACCAGCATGAACCTGACCTTCACTACACAATACCAGCATGAACCTGGCCTTCACTACACAATACCA